TGTTGGTACTTGTTCTTGTGATTGCTTCGTGTTCCAATGCTGCCTCTATAGCTGAACTGCTAAACCCCCAAATAAATCCTCAACCCTAAACCCAATATCCCTAAACCCTAACAAAACCTTCCTACTCCTCGGATTTCGCGTGAATTTTTTCCAAGGATTAGGCGATTGAGTTGTGAATCTTGAGCTCTGAAGCGGCCCGTGAAACCTAAACCCTGTACCCCAAACCCCAAACCCGAAACCCTGAACCCTAAACAACCCTAAACCCCGCCACAGACCTTCAACCCAAACCCTACTTGGAGGATCAGGGGACTTAGTAAGTAGGGCTATAAGTACCTTAGCTAGGGGTATAAGTAATCATACGTGTAGCTACCTTACTTATAGCCCCAATTACTAAGTCACATGAGCCTTTAAGTAGACCCTAAACCCTAAACCCCTATAGATTCCCTTAAAGGGACCCTTTAAAGGAACCCCAAATACTAAGTAAACCACAGCAGGGTGCCTCGGGTTCATGTTCAGTGCACGACTTCTGGGCTCCAGGCCAAGAGTCAAAACTCTCCCAGTAAAGGGAACTCCAGAAAGTTGGAATATGGTTTCCGGGTAGGATACCCTATAATTTACCATAAAGGGTTTAGGATACTCATATTCCAACTTTCTGGCTTTTACTTTAAGGTCCTGAACCCTAAAAGTCCAAACCCCTGAACCCAGGCAATATGGGGGCCTCAATAAATAGAGTAGTTTTGGGGGCCCACTATACTTTCAATATATGAAGGAACCCACCCAAAATAGTATAGGTATATTCAATCCTCATAATCACTCTTATAGACCCTTCATAAGGAACCCTTAAAGGAACCCTATCTGATCATTATTTAGGCCACTATAGTATGGCATCGACATCTGGCCTTGCAAACCACTAAGCCTGGTCCTGCCGCTAGGAATGTAAGCATTCGGAGTGCTCTTGCGACCGTTGTCACAACTGCTGCTAGAAGCTTCAAGATGCATATGAGTAGTTGTCAGAATTAAGGTCTCTTTTGGGGGGAACCCTAAATAATAGGTGCCGTATTATAATAACGATCCACAGAGGGACCCTAGTATTGGCAACCACCCATATCAACAGTAGTATTAGTATTCATACTATAAAGAGTCTTATCATGCTGCCATTGTTACCACTCTGACTGCACTTACGAGAAGTACCCGTAAGCCTAGAACTAACCTGCACCTGTACCGCTCCTACACGTCTCATGGTTCTGGTGCTATCTCCAGCTAAGTTATCTCATTCTTCTATGGCTGTCATGAGATGCTGTCGCGTGTCAATGAGCTCTTCCTGCACTGCTTCGGCAGCGGACTGAATAAGCTTAACAAGAAACCTGGACAGCATGCACGTAACAAGAAAACAAAAACATGAAAGGGTCTCAGCCTATCCGTGTATCGAAAGCCCAGAAACACTTCGCGTGCCGACGACACAATCCCTGAGGGTCCATGTACTCATACAGTATATATACATTGGCCTTAAAGTACTCCCTATATAGGTACACTGGGCCCAAAGTATATGCTATATGGGTACATGAACCCTTAGGGAATATTCTCATGAATTCCAAGGTACGACAGCACTGAAAGCAGCGTCGCCGGGAGATGTCACCTGCAACCGCTTCCGACGCTGCGCTTCTCTTTCAAGTGCGGGTTCAACACGAAACCTTAGAAGCTGAGTAGGTAACCTTTTACCTTTTAGGGTTAACATACTGGCATACTGTTATGGTATGTGATAGTGAGTTATAGTTTAGAAGGGGCCCCCCACCCTGTAAGTGACTATAAGGATTATATTCGGGCCCCACTATATTCCTATGATAGAACTATTACAGGGTTGGGGCAGCTTCTAAACTAAACCTTTCAACCTTAACCCCTGAACCAATACCCCCAACACCCGAAAACCTTGTTTCGCAAGACATGAGCCCAATACAAGTATAGTGAGCTACTTACCGTATTGCAGAAGCCTGAACAATTACGAATGGTACTTCTTAAGGTTTTTCTAGGGGTTGATTGGGCTGTATTGGTTTTTGGAATCATTACCAATTCCATTCCTTAGGGTTCCTCTCTGTAACTAGAAACTGTAGCCCAAACACGCCATTCTTGTTATTATATTGTATAAGGCGCCCTAAATCTAAACCCTACCTGTGGCCCAAAAGAACCCACCCTCCTTGGGAATTATATCTAGAATCGTATAGAATTCAGAATGAGGACTCCTAAACAGGTATTTTTTGGAACTTTAGTGCCAACGTTTGCACGATTTTGGTACATGGACCCTTCAACCCCAAACCCTTATGGTACCCTTGTAGAACCCTTATGGTACCCTTAAAGGAGCCCTATTTGATCGAAGGCCTTTCTTCAGAGCCCCCTTGACCCCTGAAAGCCCTTCATTGAGGGGGGGGTTTGGGGGTGGGGTGGCGGGGTGGGGGTGGGGGGGTGGGGGTGGGGGGGTGGGGGTGTGGGGGTGGGTGGGGGAGAGGGTTGTGTTTGAGTGTTTGGGGTTTTGCTTCAAGTGTTTAAGGTATTGTTTTGAGTGCTTAGGGTTTGTTTTAAGTGTTCAAGGTTGAGGGTTTAGGGTTGCCCTTCCTGGATGCGAGGGTTTTGGGCTCAGGGTTGTTTTAGTTGACGCTCTTCTTGGTCCGCAGTTTAGGGATTAGGCTTTAGGGCTATAGGGTTTAGGTTAATTGAAGAGCGTACCTGAAATCTTGACACAGAGCCTCTTTCTCTATCATGTACGGTCTATCTCTTCACTACAGCTTGTTGGAGTCTCTGGGGATGCCATGTTGCTGCACCAACCAGGATAACTCTTCAAAACTTGAGTGGCCGCTGTTTGGGCTTTAGGGCTTTGGGGTCTCGGGCCTTGGGTTTAGGGCTTGGGGCTTGTGATGCAAACCCTAAACACTGAACCCTTAACCTCATCGTGGCGTGGGGTGAGCACGCAGAAATCTAAATTCATACAGGCGTCAGCCATCATAGCTTTTAGAGCTGTTAGGCTCGCGGGGGTGGTTCGTTTCGAAAGGACCCTGAAACATATTCACAGCATACCGACAGGAATCACATAGAGGAACCGGTCAAAAGGGGAATGATGCTGTCTGTTTTCTGAAGGATCCTAAGCTGTCTTTTCGAGGCTTGTGCGAATGCCGACGGCTCCGGGGCTTCAGGGTTTGGGCTTTGAGGGCAACCCTTTCTCAGAGAGCCCATATACACCGCCATTGTGGAATGAGGTCCCGCAAGACCCTCCCTTATGGTTCTGGGCCTGATTGGGAGTGTATATGGGTGGTTGTAAAAATTATGGTCCCTTTTGAGGTACCCCAATATTAGGTGCCATATGATATTAAGGACCCAAAAAGGAACCCTGATTTTGACCACCACCCATATGGACCCTGCTGGCTTGACTTCATGGGAGAGTCGCAAGGATGTCTGTCTTAGATTCCTCTCGTTGGACAAAAAAAGGAAACTCCAGCTTTACAGTGACTTCCATCATCTAAAAAAAGCTCCAAGTCTACAGCAACTCAGAGAGCTACCGCGACCAAACCCAGGGTTGCATTTGAGGCTCAAAGTATGGTTTCCGTAACAAACCCTGCAAACCGCTTATCTTTTAAGAATCCTTACCACACAAAACCCTTAAGTGTTAAAGGAAACCTCTTCTGAATACCAAGGCCCTTCTAAAGCCCACTGACTCAGAAAACATTGCCCTAAACCCTAAACCCTAAACCATAAACCCTAAGCCCGCCCGGCTTGTTTGGGCCTGCGTTGAGGCCCCAAGGCTTTGTTGCTGTCTGTTCGGGTCCCAGCAGCAAGTTTGGCACCCAAAGGAACTTCGCTGAAGGTGAGTCCAGGGGTTTAGGGTTTAGGGGTTTAGGGCTTGTCTTGAAACTCCTTGTTCCAACTCGCAACTGCACAGTGCACTGCAGTGTCTGCAAGTCCATAAGGACAGGAGAGCCGCAGACCATTTCAGCCGAGACGAAAAAAGAATCGGTTATAGCATGTGGCAGTATGCTATATGTACTATGGTACGCATATTAGAACAGGCTATTATACATAAGTTAGAACCGATTCTAGTGTTGCCTCAAAGCAACACTCTCTGGTCGACGGACTTCACGGCATACCTCTGGCCGTCCGGGTTCACATCCTGAAGTCCGTCACCGCGTCGGGCAAAAGCGTCGTCAGGCAAAGCAAACATGCAATGTAGGGGCCTTAATGATTACCAATACAAATTTTAAGGATTCCTTATTATGATTGCAGTATGATGGGCCCCCAAACCCTATTCAAAGTATTAAGGCCCCACAGTGAGTGTTTACGACTTGGGGCTTAGGGTTATCTTCGTATTTGGACGGCTTCAATTGCAGACTCTATAGACCCCAGCCTTGTCTCTTGCGAGGAGAGCCAACTGACTCACTGCACATACACTCCCACCTAGCAAACCCTAAACCCTAAACCCTAAACCCTAAACCGTACATCCTAAACCCGAGAAGCCCAAATAAACCCGATACCCACAAGCAGAACCTTGCCACAAACAAATCCTTGACTGTTCAGGGTTATTTAGTGCTTTTTGGACTTTTTTCTCCTAAGCCATCAAGGGTGGAGAGCTGAGCTAACTGACACCGAAGGAAAATTGCGTTAGGTTTCTGAAGTATCTAAGTACAGTGGTTACAATAGACTGGGGCGAGGTTCCTATTCTTGCTCAGGCGAGAAACGACGGTAGGTTGATGCTGCCAGAAGGCGCTGTTGCCTTTTTCCAAGTGCCTGGCGGCCTACATGGCTGGAAGTCAGTAGAACGGTTGATGATATAGATCCCGCGTGACCTTAAAGACCCTAAACTATCGGAATTATGGGATATTCCTTATTAAGGGTAATGCAGGATTTATACCATCAACCGAAGTGCTGCTGCGCCACAAAGCAGATTAGGAAGATGAATGCTGATCGCACTCAGAATCTGCTTTCGTGACCAAAATCAAAAACTACGTGCTGCCTAGCATCTACACTGCACGGCAGTCCGTAATCATACGACCGAACGTGGTGTAATCCTCACGGGGACCCACGTATCGCTTTCCATCAATGGCTGAAAAGATTTCCGCGGTTTTGCCCTTCACATGAGTGATGGAGAAGTGGTGCCCGTCCACATCTCCAATCTGGGATGTGCTTGGCTCTCTAGATTAGGGTCCGCTTTAGGGTACTATGTTGGGGACCTGAAAACGGGACCCTAATTTAGAGAACTACCCGTGTGTTTGACACATGAAAGGAGAAAGGAGATGCTTATTTCCACTGCGACAAGATCTGAAGATGCATAATGAAAGCCAGCAATATGTTTTCCACAGGGTACATTACTGTCTAAATACATCTTATCAAAAAAGGAATCCTATGGAATGGTGCTGGAAGCTTTTGAGCACCTATGGTAGATCGAGCAGCTCGCCAGTGGCCAAGCTGCACAAAGCCATGTCCAAAGGCGATGCCCGAAGGTGCACCAACGGCTCGTTCGAAAAGGTTAAAGCCATGATGGGGTCCGACTTGCGCGATGCCGTCGTCTCCTGAACATCGAGGTACTAAAGTCGAACAGATTAGCAACAAAGGGTAAAAAGGCTTAGCAGAGAGAGAGAGAGAGAGAGATTCTGAAATCAACAAGCCCTAGACCCCAAACCTTACCTCAACCCCGAACAACCTACGTGTGAAAGCTAGAAGACTTATATGGGGTAGTTCTCTAGATGCGTGTGCCTTTCTGACGTCCTTTTGTATTAAGGACGCCGTACTATTTGGGGGATCCCAAAAGGGACCCTAATTGAGAGAACTACCCATATAAGGAACTCATAACAAAAAACCGTCAAGGTGTAGGTTTGTTAGGGCTACCTGCCAAAAAAGTATGCAGAATAACAGCCCTTTCAAGCGGGTGGGTCACTATGTTACCTTCTTTTGAGGTGTCTGGGTAATCCCGCACTCCGAAGATACCGATCCTAACTGTAGTTACCCTATTTCTAACCCGACTACTAAGTCCCATGATCCCTTAATCCTTACGGATCTCTTATAAAACCCTTTAATGTACCCCTAAAGGAGCCCTTTAAGTTACTAAGTCCCATGAAACCTTAAACCCTTATAGAACCCCTATAGACCCCTTAAAGGGACCCCTTAAGGAGCCCTTTCAGCTAGTAAGTCCAATGATCCTTTTGGTACGTAGATCATGTGTCTCTAAAACCAGAGCCAAGGTCCCTATATGTCGGTTTAGGGTTTAGGGTTTAGGGTAGGCTACCCGAAAGGTCGAGTCCAGAGACTCCAATATCCCTTAATTAAGGAATATTCCTTAAATCATATTAGGGATCCTACTATAATTTAAGGTATATTAGTTCTACGTGTATAAGTATCTTACAAGGGATCCTAATCGGGGTTATGATACTTAAAACTACGGAATAACGAACTACTTAACTTCTTGCTAAGTCCCCCGACCCTCCAAGTACCTCGTTGTAGGTAACATGAGGTTTACTGTGCTTCCAAGGACAGCCTACAATGAGACCTGCGCGGTGGTCCGAAAAACGGCCTTGGCCCTTCCCCTAAGGGTCCAAGTACCTAATAATCATAAACTCTCCCAAATATTAACCTACATAACTCCTATCCTAAACCCCTGAACCCCTAAACTCCTAAACCCTAAACCCCTAAACCCCTAAACCCTAAACCCTAAACCCTATCCTAAACCAAAGTACCTGATTATTCGGTCCTTTGGACCCTTGGGGTTCCCCCTAATAGAAGCACGAACATGCTTTCATTATTAGCCCTGCTGTCACTCTTGGGAGATATGAGAGTTTCCGAAAATAGGGGACCCCAATAGAGTACCCTGAATAACAAGAGCCGTATTAAAAAAAAACCCAACACATGGTACCCTAGTTTTCGGAAACTCCCATATACTCCTTTATAACTCCTGCTCTGGCTCTTGCTTTGGCTCTTCTTACCGTTGGTAATAGGGCTCCTTTAAAGGGATCTATACGGTTCCTTTAAAGGAATCTAGAAGGGATTAGGGCTCCTTTAAAGGGATACTTACCTTTGGTTAGTAGGGAATGGAGGAATGGGGTATAGTTGTTGCTGCTACTCCCGAAGCTTAACTTTTAGTTCCACTGAAACTGCTTAGCAAGCCACGCCATATCATCGGAGCTTTGTTGTCACGGTGGGAGACGACGAGATGTTTCCCATCTTCCTCCCATTCACCCAAACGCCACCACTCGCCAAACTGGATGAAGCGGTCTCCGAACTTTATGGTGCTGGTTTCGCGGGTCTCGCGGTCCCAGCTGTTCTGGTCGTGTCGTGGCCCAGAATGAACATGACCATCGGACGTGTAGATCGCGGGAGTGAGGGTGTTGCGGTGCGAGAATGAGAAGTGATCCGAGTCCATCTGCGCGACGCGCCAGCTGCCAACCTGTAGAAAGCCGTGACCTGCCGGATTCGGCTTGAAGCTTAGGGCTTACAGATTTTGGAATTATGTGACAACCAGGACCCATGATGCTCAGGCAGAGGTGAGATCTATTCTTGCAAATGAAGCCACCTGCTGTGATTCCGGGGCAGCTTCCCAGTATTTCCTGGATGCCGCCACAATGCCATTGCGCATATCGCTGCGTCACATCGGCAACCTTGGTGACTGCGTAAACAGCGGACCACTTTGGAAGGCGGACTACTTCAAAAATATAGGACAGAACCCTAAACCTTACTAAACCCTAAATCCTAAGCCCCAAACCCGATACGACAATCCAGTGGCTCCATCGGCATAGTTCGGATGCTGGATCCGCGGGATGACATGTCCATCACCTATAGTTCTTGGTTGGGGAAATATTTTAAACAACTGAGTACGGGTTTACAGTTTAGGGTTTAGGTTTAGGGTAAGAGTATTTTACAAATGCAACGTGTTAAATAATTACCCAACTATGACAAAGTCACGATGAAATATCTGAGGGCTCGTGTTGTAGCCCTTGTGGGTCACGTACAAGGCCGTGTCATCCGCCTAGGTTGTGAGAGCACCCTCTACAGCATGCTGCGCACACGCCCTGCTTTCAAAGACCAAACGCCAAGGAAGAGAGAGAGGGAGAACCCTCCCTAAAACCTAAATCCTAAACCCTAAACCTATTTAATTTCAAAAGAAGATTTCTTGACTACCGCCCAGCCGCGCCGAACCGCCACTCGCCTAGCTGTATGAACTGCTCCCCGAACCTGTTGAACTCTGGCAACGCCATCTCTTGTTGAAGAAAAGCATACGACTCTTAGTCTTATGATGACTTTCAGTTACTCCCACATCCTAAACCCTAAACCTGGAAAGACAGAAGCTTAAAGGAGAGAATGATACTCACCAAGCCAGGCACGTCACACCTGACGCTGGCCCGGCTCTCAAAGTCCATGCATTAAAGTCGTGCCTGGGACCAGGATGCAACGAGCCATCGTGCCTGGGCCGCAGGGTGTAGGGCTTATAGGTTGGGTACTGCCCCCATACAGTCGCAGTCTATAATAGGGCTACTATTAAGGTCCCAATATATCTATATTATGACGAGTATTCAACTGTTACTGAGTGGGGGCAGGGCTTATAGGGTTTGGGGCAGAACTCTCCATTCCATGAGGACATATTTCTTTGTAAGGTAAAAGGGGAGGTCGGGTGCGGGTGGCAGTATGGCACGTTCAATACTGGGACGGCTTGTGGTGGTTGTGCGGCTGTGAAGCAAGACCTCGTCTTGCGGATAGCAGGCCCCAAAGTCTAAAGTGCGAAAATCCTGCAGAAAGGGCCCAGATGCCCCCTGAAGATCTGAGCAGTCGTCCCTGACCTGGGGTTTTTAGCAGCCAGGGAAGAAAAGAGTACATGTATTATTTCAATTTTTTGTTAATAAACAGTATTAAAGTGTGGTGCTACAAAGCCCAGTGACTGGTGGGAGATGCTCATATGATTTTCGTCCGTCGCAGCGACCCGGAACCTGCCGATCTGGATGAAGTTTGCGCCGAAGGTAATGCCATAAGGAAACCTTCTTCTCGATTTAGGGTTCAGGGCTTAGGGTTTGGCGTTTAGGAGTTTAGGGTTTAGGGTTTTGGGTTTAGGGTGTAGGGTAACAAAATGGAGAGCATGCTTTTATCTTGAGGTCTATGTAGCAGAACCAGGAGCAGCTGAAAATTCCACCAAGTTTCAGACAAGGAGCCCTATAGGTCTGTCCCAGGAACCAAAATCGGACCGGGGGCCAGACAAGATATGGCCATCTCCACGGTACACTTGGACGGTCTTTCCTAGGATACCCAGTAACCTAAGAATAAAAAGGCCTCTCTTTTTGGTAATGGGTAACTTTACAAGGAACCTAGGACTACAAAAAGGGAATAAGGGTACTACTGGGCATCCTAGTTTCGGTTCTCGTGCGAGATGCTGAAGTGGTTCCCGTCTATTGCCGCCATGCGCCACTTCCCGAGTTGGATAAACCGATCCCCCCAGTGTCCAAACTCCTGGGTACTTGTTAAGGAACTTCGTTTCAAGTTATAACAAGAATAGGTTAACCATCTTACTTATTGTGCATCCCTATTACGCCAACGTAGATCGATACCAAAACGCTCCTCGATACAGAACCCTTATAGATTCCCTAAAACCGGAGCCCCCATACATCCCTGTTGAGGAAACTTAAGGACTTAAAGTTCAGTTCCTGAACAAGACTATACTGAACTTAGAACCCTAGCAAAAATTGGAATTCTAGCTGTTTCTTAGGGATTATAATAACCAAAAACTAAAAATAATTTCTAAGTACCCCTAAGTACCTTACGGTGGAGCACATTGTAGTTTAAGGTTTCGGGATTCCGGGTTTAGGGCAAGTTAAGTTCCTGAACAAGAACCCAGGCTCTGGCTTACACACTCCGAAGGCCAGCTCGGCGATATCGGGGCAGGTCCAGTCGGCGGGCGCTTTGCGGACCATGGCATGGTTGTCCCAGTGCCTGGGCTCTTGTGGCTCCTTAAAGGGATCTATAGGGTTTCTTAAAGGGACCTATAGGGTTTCTTAAAGAGGTCTATGGGGTTTAGGGAGTTTAGGGTTTAGGGTCTATTTGGAGGCGCAGGGGACAAAGTAAGTAGGTTGTAAGTTAGAGTTATAAGCACACTACGTGGAGTTACCCCCAACTATAACCCTACTTCTAACCCTACTTACTAAGTCCGCTGCCCCTCTAAGCGGGCTCTTCTCAAGGAACTTTGGGCGTAGGGTTGCCTAAACCCTCAACTCTAAATTTGCAAAAACCCTGTAGATCCCTATTATGGTAGCAGAAGAGGCTTGTACTATAGATACCTCAACCCTAAACATAGCCTGTCATGGTAGCTTAAGAAGACATGTATTTCAAAAGAAGAGCCCAGGCGCTGGCTTCCGGGCCAGCGGGTCCCGTCGTTGCCTCGGAAGATCTCCATGGACCTGCCCGTGGGGGTGTAGGAGAAGAGGAAGTGGTTCGAGTCAGCCTCGCCGAATCGCATTTTGCCCACCTGGATTCTTGTTAATAAGGAATCTCATCAAAGTTACCATAATACAAGAAACCATATTATTTACTATAGACCCCTATTATGGTGACTTAAAAACAAATTCGTAGCAAGAGCCCAGCCACTTGTATGAACTTGTCCCCGAAGGTGACTCCCGCCTGAAACCCCTCACCGCGGTCGAAGAGCTCCCAATGATTAGTCCTTAGGTGCTGAGTTCAGAAGCCCCAAAAGTGTACACTTCTAGTTTTATAGTGGGTAATATGATCCCAAAAAGTGTAAAGTGTATCCACTCAGCTACTAAGAGTCCGGTGGTGCACTGAGGCGTCGTGGCCACGCCAACACTGGGCTGCAGTCCTGTGCTTGTGAGACACTGCGAAGTGATCATCATCATTTGCACCAATACGGAAGTTGCCGATCTGGATGAACTGGAAGCCAAACCTGATAGTAATTTTGGCAGGCTGTTCTCAGCGTCCCCTCAAACCGGTCCATAGCTGCTAAGTATTCAACGATGCAAAAACCAAGCAAAGCTGAAACAACCGTTTCAGAAAACAACACATGCTGGGCCGAGATAGTTCATGGGATAGGGTTTGGTGATATTTCACAAAAACTTATATCGAGGAACCCTGCGGAATCTTCTTAGCTCTTAGTACTTGTTCCGGCCGCTGTACTTAGCCGCCATTAGCACCAGAAAAAACCGTTCTTATTGACCACCTTAAGTTCTAGTAGAACAGACATAAAACATAATTCCTAAGAGCAGTAAAGTGTACTAATCTAGCGGCCTAAATAATTACTAATACCATTTTTTGGGGGGTGGGTCCTTATTGCACTTTTCATAAACTGGGCCCCAAGACCCTATTCTCATTATAAAGGCCCCTATACTAAATCCTTATATATTAGCTCCTATCGTCTTCCTCATAATAGACCCCTTTAAAGGAACCCTATTCAAATTCTTAAGGCCTCTTGTCCGTATAATTTAAGCATTGCCCAGTAAACCCCGATTACAGTGACCCTTATAGACCCCTGTATAAGAAGCCTTTAGGGAACCCTATTCTAGTATTCAATCTCCTATATTAAGTCTTGCAAGGCGGCGAGATCCCTCTCGCCGGCCCCTCCTGCCTCTCCCAGGCAATGCGAGAAATCCTGAGTTCTGATTGGGGAAGCTACTTTAAGGGTTTATGGTTTAAGGTTTAAGGTTTAGGAAATAGAGTTAGGGAAGCTGCTTGAAGTTACCATAAACAGGAAACCAAATCATTTACTATTACTATAGACGCCTATTGTGCAGCTTACATGGTTAAGTTTCTTGTAGAACCCTTATAAACATCCCTGAAAGGACCCCTTTTAGATCCCTACATGGCAACATGAACGAAGTTCCTAACATGAACCCTAAACCCTAAACCTCTGAACCCTAACTAACAAGCCCAGAATCGGGGCTGTGGTGGGCCAGGGGCGCCAGAAAGGCTCCCCATCGCTCCGCCACACAATGGGAATCTGACCTTTAGTCTAGGGGTTTAGGGTTTAGGATTTAGGGTCTAGGGTCTAGGGTGTAGGGGGTTTAGGGTTTAATGGGAATCTGACCTTTAGATTCAGGTCCTATAGTGCTTCCGGGGTTTGGGGTGAAGGGTTGCGAGCTCAAGGTGTGTGAATTCGGGCCTGCTGTGAGGCTTTGAAATTTAGTGATTGGAGCACAAAGGACTGTAAGAATGAAGGCCCCCTTCTTTCGAATCGAACAATGGTTTTTGCCAGATCCCATTCGAGCAACCGTCTTTGTGTGCCAGCACAAAGTGCGTCCCGTCAACGTCGGCCAATCGCCACGAGTCGCCCAGTTGAATGAACCGGTCTCCCATCACGAGACGGGGGCATGCGCCCGCTGAGATCCTATAGAACCACACAATTCAACAGCGGGCACAACCCTAAACCCAAGACCCTGAATCCCTAACCCCCCCCAAACCCCTACACCACTAAACCCCTAAAGCCCTAAACCCCTAATAAACCCCAAAGCCCTAAACCCCAAAGCCCTAAACCTGCAGGGAGTCAAGATGAGGTGAGCCGGCCCTCTCGGCATATATAAAACCCCCAGAAATGGGATATTACAAGACCGCAACGGTTGATAATATAAATCCTGCATTACCCATATTAAGAAATATACCATTATTCCCATAGCTTAGGGTCCTTGAGGTCATGTCAGGATTTATATCATCAACCGAAGAACCCTTGACAACACAGCTCCGAGGGTCTTGTGCTCCGTAGTGTGCACTTGTTCGGGTGGCGGGATCTCGTCCCCAGGTGGAGGTTTCCTTCCGGCATGCTTGCACCCAAGCCTGTGCTCTTGTTGGGGAGCCGAAGTGAAGTTAGCATAATAAGGAAGTCGTGTTCCTTGCTGTAGATCCCTATTATTATGGTAGCTTAAGGTAAACCCTAAACTCTAAACCCTTAAAACCTAAACCCTAAAACCTAAGCCCTAAACTCTTAAACCCCTTAAACCCTAAACCCTAACTCCTAAACCCCTAAACCCCAAGAATAAGTACCCAGAAGCTCTGCGGCGCAGGGTGCGGAGTCGAACCCGGGAGTCTTGTAGACCTCGTGGCAGAAGAGCTTCCTGAGTTCGTTTAAAGAATTTGGGTTTGGGGTTTAGAGGTTTAGGGTTTAGGGGTTGAGGGTTTAGGGTTTAGGGGTTTAGGGGTTTAGGGGTTTAGAGGTTTGGGGCTTCGGGTTTAGGCTTAAGGGTTTAGGGTTTATGGGTTTAGGGTTTAGGGGTTTAGGGGTTTAGGGGTTTAGGGGTTTAGGGTTTGGGAGTTTAGGAGAAATATCTTGCATCGTTAGTGAGAGCCCAGCTTCATGGGGGGGAGCAGCTGAATCGACGGCAGATTCAAGTCCAAATCAAGGGCCGGGATCAGTCCGACGATGGCAGTTGCTGCAGCTTCAGCCGCTTCCATGATCTTGTCCGTGACAAAGCTGGCACCCGGAACGCACTGGAGTGGCCCTGACATGATTTTGATCATAGCTCTGGCACCAGCCATGACGCCTTTCTTGATCGCATTCATGATGAATTCGGAGTCGAAGAGGTTTAAGTAGATAGCCGGCAGCGCGAAGCCAGTGATGTCGACGTCGACAAAGGTGTTAAGCGCGGCTGCTCCGCACATCTCCAGTGGTGCATATGTCCTAGGTTCCCCAGTTTATAGCGGCCTTAATAATTAGAATAGGGTTTTGTGGTATATTATTCGATAATTATCATCAGGATCTCCGAAAGTAGTATAGGTAATTATTAAGGCCCCTATATTAGCCCCTTAACAAGACGCGGTATCCATCTTCCTGTTATGCAGTCTTATTGGGGTAGCTCTTAGGGACTAACGGAAACTACTGGGAAATGCAACAAGTGCTAGGTTCCTGAGTAGCTCGTAGGTTTAGGGTTTAGGGCTTTGGGTTTAGGGTTTATACGAAGAGTATCCTTTTTCCTCTATTCGGGTTTAATATGGGGCCCCAAAACAAAAAGGGCAAAAAGGTGCCATTCAGGAAGCTTGAGTGTCATGTTCAAGCTGGAGTTTGACCCCGATGCGGTAGAGACATGAGTAGCCTCCTGGAGGAGCGTGCCACTGCCCCGAGGAAACATCCTCAGTAGGTGCATTCCTAAAGGTCTTAAACCCTAACCCCCAAACCCTAAACCCTAAACCCTGAACACTAAATCCGAAACACTGAACCCTAAACATCCGATCCAGCGGAAGGTGCTGAGGCGTCTCGGGCCATCAGCGTTACTACGTCCTCGACATATCACGACATTTTCTGTTCTAAACCTAAAGCTTACATGACTGTGTTGCGAATACATCATAAGAATGACAATAACAACAGCTTATCATAATAAGTAAAAACTGATTTAGTAAAAGAACATACCACAATCAGTTTATATGCAAAGACGATAGAAACTCTTCTTGAACAAGCTCTGGCGTCAGGTTGCCCTGGGCTTTGGCCTCGGCATTCACGAACGGCCTGAAGGTCAGTTAGTTTAAAGTGCGCGGGTCTTCAGCGGGCTTTGTGGTTTGAGGAACAGGGTTTAGGGTTTAGTTTAAAGCCCTGTAAACTCCAAAACTTTAGGGTTTAGGGCTTAGGGTTCGGAGGAGCCTGAAAGTGATAGGAACACCCGGCAGCGGCCACAGCGTAAGCACAGGTCCGATACTCCTTACTTGACGCCGAGGGGTTTGGGTTCGGGGCTTGGGGCAGCTAAAGCCTAAACCCTGAATCCTACACCCTAAACCCTAAACCCTGAACCCTAAACCCTAAACCCTGAATCTAAACACTTCTGGTATAGAAAACACAAAACCCTGGGATGCTTCGAACATACCAACAGAGGTGGTACTGCTGACGGACGAAATCCTGCATTACCCATTAAAAGGAATATCCCATAGTTCCCATAGTTTAGAGTCCTTAGGGTCATGCAGGATTTTGCCCATCAACAGTACTACTAGGGTTTCAAGTTTAGGTCTCACATGGACCCTAAACTCTTGGCGTCCAGGTACGGACTACTTGGAGGATCATGGGACTTAGTAAATAGGGTTAGAAGTACTTTAACTGGGGTTATAAGTACTTGCAAGCCCATGAGCCCCTAAGTAGACCCTAAACCCTAAACCCTTATAGTACCCCTATAGATTCCCTTAACGGGACCCCTTAAGCCCAAACGATGACAGAGTTGTTCCCTACACCCTAGGCCCAGGCTCAAGAGCAGGGAGGCCCCAGCACTAGCTCCGATCGCGAAGCCGTTCTTATGCCCAATCGATGGGCTCTTCATATCCACCTCTGCATGACCACTCCTGAGTGCTACATTAGGCTTCAAGCTTGCAGGTTTTCAGGTTTAGGGACTGCCTTGAAGATAGTTTAGGGCTGCCTCCTAACCACACCCAAAGCCCGAATACAAAGGCCTCAATAGTTAGAACAGGGCTTGTGTCAGGTGTAGTATCCAAATGCTAACATAAGGAACGCACAAACTTGTACTGGCAAGTATGCAAGCCTCTACTTCGAGGATCATGGGACTTAGTAAGTCAAGGTTATAGGTACCTTAGGTAGGGATATAAGTAAACATAAATACAGTTACCTTACTTATATAACCCCACTTCCTGAGTCCCATGATCCTTTAAGTATAGCAACTCCCTCCTTGAGTTTCCACGAGTAGAGGTCTCACGGATCCTCTTGTTTGGGGCGTAGGGGTTTAGGGTTTAGGGGTTGGGGGTCAGGGCTTATAGGGTCTGGAGTTTAGGGGTTTTAGGTTTTTTGGTTTACCCTAAACCCTAAATCCTAAACCCTAAACCCTAACCCCTAAACCGTAAACCCCAAACCATAAAACCCTAAACCCTAAAACCCTAAAACCCTAAAATCGAGTCCGAAGCTCTGAGTGACCTTCACGCGGCCCTCGACCCCGAAGTCGACTTCGCTGCTCGCTTCGATGGTTCCCGTGAGTGTGCCCTCCAAGTGCAGTTCCTAGGTTTAGGGTTTAGGGTTTAGAGTAAGTTGAAACTTTCTAGGATAGACTAAATTTCCTCTCTTCTCCGAACGGCTTAGGGGTTTGTTTAAAGTGCACTGACCTTTCTCCACTCCGCCAGGCGACGAAGCAGTCTTAGCCTTAGGGCTTAGGGTTTAGGGTAAGTTGAAACTTTCGAGGATAGACTACGTAAATATACTTGAAGGATCATGGGACATGGTAAGCAGGGTTATAGGTAAGGTAACGACAGTTATTTTATATACTTATATCCCAATCAAGGTACTTATAACCCTACTTACTAAGTCCCATGATCCTCCAAGTATCCTTATAGAAACCCCTTATAGATCCCCCTTTTAAGGAACCCTTTAAGGACCCTACTTACTAAGTCGCATGATCCTCCAAGTACAAGGCCAAAACGTTCAAAGTTTTCCCATTGGCTAAGTCAGGCTCTGCCATCATCTGAAGCAGGATCACGAGGCAGAACCTGGGGTCATAGGGACCCTTAGGGGTGTGGGGGGGAGGGTGTAGGGGATTATATTTCCTTAAATAGGCGTTATTAGTCCTTATTATGGGCATTAAGGCCCCCTACCCCCCCTCCCCCTACACCCCTAAGGGTCCCTTTGATGGGGGTTTAAGCCAGGAGCAAAAGGCATAACGGCATAAACATATAAAAATGAGCTTTAGGGTTAGGGTTTAGGGTTTAATGGGAATCTGACTTTTCGGCTTACTATAGGGGCCTAAATAAAAAGTACCAATACTATTTTGGGGGTTCCTTATCATAATTATAGTATAAGGGGCCCCAAAACCTTATTCTAATGATTAAGGACCCGACATCATTTCATGCTTCGAAGGCTTGAAGGAACAGGTCCAAAGAAAAGTAATAAAGCGTGGCACTCCACCCAGGAACGGAGGCGCACAGATGATCTTCTTCTTGGGAGGATCAGGAAATCCTCTCTGGGCCTGCAGGAAACTGCAAGACAATACCAGGTTTCCAGAGACTCCAATGTCTCTTAATTAAGGAATATACCTTAAATTATAGTAGGATCCCTCATATGACTCAGGGAATATGTTAAAATTATGGGATATTGGAGTCTCTGGGTTTCCACCATGATAGTAAGAACAGGAAACTGGTACTATAGGGGGCCTTAATGATGAGAATAATTAGGGTGGATAGGGTTCTGGGATATACCTTGTACCTATAGTCTCCATTGTAGTCCATTTTTTGGTTAACCTGTTTTATGGTTAGGATCCTATAGAAGAGATTTTGGTTAACCAAAAAAAGAACTACAATGGAGACTATAGGTAGCATATCTCACCGACACGACCACAACCAACATCTCCGCCCACCCTAGCATCTGCAGCCGTGCCGCATGGAAGGAGCAGCTACCTTGCGCCTTGACAAGAGCGTGAATGGACGCGCGCACCGTCCCGCTGATTGAGAACTCGGTCGTTCCTGGGCTTTGCTCGCAGGCTGCAGGGTCATGCACTCGTGGGCTGTTATGAAGTGTCTGTGAAACAGCGAGGTCCTGTAGCAAAATGCATGCTTCATATAGGGGGTCGCAATCAGTAACAATACTACTCCTTAGGTCTTCTTCTTACAGGGTTTAGGGTTTAGGGAGTACCAGATGATGTACACCAAGACCCTACTCTTCTTCTTAGGGCCCCGTCTACTAAACCCTAAACCTCGCTGAGGCTCCGCTCTTGTAGACCGTCATGGTCACATCTGGTGAAAACTGGACAAGACCATCGAGAGCAACCTTGGACATAGTTTAGGGCTTACTTAAAGGATCATGGGAAATAGTAAATAGGCTATAATTGGGGTTATAAGTCCCCTAAGTGGGGTTAGCCTAATTATAACCTACTTATAACCTTACTTACTAAGTCCCATGAGCCTTCAAGTAGGGTTTAGGGTTTAGGAGTAAGCTCTAGGTTGGCCCTTTAGAGCCCCTGAAAAATATTCGTAGCTAGGGTCCACCTAGGCCGAACAAGGGAAAATATGAAATATCCCAAAGGCCTACCCAGAGCTGGATTGTATTCAAACAGATGATCTTGAGTTATATGTATACTGAGCTATATTGTATTATATCGAATATGCATGATGGCAGCACATCTGCAGACGTACGTGCCAATCCACGAATCATGCTGCAATCCCCCCTAGTGCAGAGTAGGGAACGAGGGAATGGATCCCTATGGTAGTCCCGATATCATCTCCAACAATAGTCCCCATAATCCATTCCCCCATTCCACACTAAGCACCAAACATAACTCCCTGGCTCTTAGTAGGGAATGGGGAAATGGATCCATATGATAGGCCCTTATAGGAGTCCCCATAACCCATTTCCCATTCCCTACTAAGAACCAGGGAGATGAAACTGTTGATGGACAAAATCCTGCATGACCTTAAGATACCTTAAGGACCCAAAACTATGGGAATTATGGTATATTCCTTATTCTGGGTCATGCAGGATTTTGTCCACCCACCGAAGCACGGTCCCTTCCGTTCTGTTGCCATCCGAGGCGCATCCAAGGATGCCTCACAGGATCCTCGCGTTTTCATGACATCTAAAGTTCATGGCTTCACTGGGAGGGGCAGGGGACTTAGTAAGTAGGTTATAATTAAGTAGAGTTATAAGTACCCTAAATGGAGTTACCCCAATTATAACCCTACTTATAACCTACTTACTAAGTCCCCTGCCCTTCTAAGTAGGGTCCGTGCTGAGATTGGGCAGGCACCTAGTGTAAATTTCTGGTCATGTGGGATACAGGGCCGCGGCTGCTATCTCGCACACGGATACCCGGAGCTTAAAGGGTTGAGGCATCACAAGCCGTAATCCTCGCAATCAAAACCCCCATCAAAACCCCCAAGCCCCAAACCCCGTACTGTAGGTGTCCGACATTGCCCCCTGAATGCAACAGCCTGCCTCAATGCATCCCGGCATAACCCACATCCCTGCAATTCAAGCCCCATTGGAATGATCTAAGCGCTCAAACCCTAAGCCTTAACCCCCAAAACCCCAAGATCATTGATGCGAAACCCAAACTCAAGGAAAAGGCCCCTAGCCCTCAACCATAGACCCTAAACCCCCCAAAAAAGGCAGGCAGGTGCCTGACTTTTCTGACGTCGTCTTGTTTCCCAATGCATAGTTCTTTATATCCTGGGGCTCTTTCAAGACCTCATTGGCCGACCTGGGGTGGCCCAGGATTAGGCTTTACGGTTTAGGATTTAAGGTTTAGGATTTAGGGTTTAGGGCTTAGGGTTTAGGATTTAGGGTTTAGGGCTTAGGATTTAGGGTTTAGGTTTAGGATTTAGGGTTTCGGGTTTCGGGTTTAGGATTTAGGGTTTCGGGTTTAGGGTTTCGGGTTTTAGGGTTTGCGGTTCAGGGTTCAGGGTGTTTGTCTTTTTTACGTGCAATGGCGCCTTAGGGTTTAGGGATAAGGGGAGTTTCCGAATATTAGGGGTACCTTATTTGGAGTCCTAATAATAAGGATCCTACATTTTAGGGTACTATATTAGGGTCCCTATTTTCGGAAACTCCCAAGGGGTTTGATTGGCTTTTGATTGGGATGCAGGCATGTGGAGAATTGGGCTACCCTATACTGAAATTAGAACCCTAGCAAAAAAATACAATTTTAGCTGTTTCTTAGGGATTATACGAAACCAAAAATGAAAAAATATTTTCTAAGTACCCCTAAGTACCTTACGGTGGAGCACATTGTAGTTTAAGGTTTAAGGATTCCGGGTTTAGGGCTTAAGGGAGCTGATCTTACAGCGGGGCACATGGAGTTTAAGGTTTAGGGATTCCGGGTTTAGGGTTCAAGGGAGCTGATGGATTCAAGATGCGGTCTTCTTGTGGTCTCTGAACCCATTAACCCTAAACCTTAAACCCTGAATCCATGGGTAAAAGGAGGGGACCCCTAGGTCTATACCCTTAATCTAGCTATTATATACCCGTCATATAGCCCAGTATAGGGTAGGGGTCCCCAATACGGGTCCCTCCTTTTCCCCTTTGACTGAACCCTAAACCCTACACCTTCAACCGTAGGGATGGGGGCGGCCGGGGAGAGTGCGGCTGCCTGAGCTGCGCCTACCCGAAGCTTCAAAAAAACGCACACGAAAAACGGCGAGTTTTGGGTTTAGGGGTTTGGGGGTTCTATTATTTAAGGAGACCTGAGGAATACTATTGGGCCTTAGTCGCAGTTGGAGTAGGATCTTTGGGCTATATCTTACTGAGTATATGGGGTGTTCCGAAAATAGGGGACCCAAATATAGTACCCCAAATAGTAGGATCCTTATTATAAGGACCCCAAAATAAGGTACCCCTATTTTCGGAAACTCCCATATACGAAGGAGCCCTTAGGTGCACTGTTAGCAACTATTCCGACCACTATGTCCAGGTTCAGGGTTCGGGATCTAGGGTTTAGATTGGATACTGCCCATACATACACTAACAGTCTATAATAGGGCTACTATTAAGGGCCTAATATATCTATATTATGAAGATTATCCAACTGTTACTGAGTGGGGGCAGTATCCAAGGTTTAGAGCTTACAACTTGACGTCAGGACATCGGAGAGGGTCCCTGCCCAAACCTACCAGGATAAAGAATCACACCCTAAACTCCAAACACAAAGCCTTTCACAGATGCAAAAGCAACAAGACACCACTAACCCTACACCCTAAAACCTGAACCCCAAACTTTCCCAAACTCTCAACTGAAAATATGAACCCCCAATTCTACACCCTAGACCCCTGAACCCCTACACCCTAAACCCTTAACCCCTAAACCCCAAACCCAACACTTGGAACATCGAGGCGCTTGAAGGCTTGCACGTACTCTTCTCCAGGCAAGATCGTCATACCTCATTTAGGGTTTAAGGTTTAGGGTTTAGGGTTCAGGGTTTAGGGTTTAGGGTCACCCCAAGGGTCCAAAGGACCCAATTTTAAACGTTTATTAGGGTTCCTTTAAGGGGCTCTAGGACCCAATCTTAAAGGTTTATTGGGGTTCCTTTTAAGGGTTCTAAACGGGGTTTAGAGGATTTTATAGTAGGGTTTGAAGGGTGCCAAGGACCCAATAATAAGGTACTTGGGTTTAGGACAATAGTTATGTAGGTTCATATTTCGGAGAGTATTGGGTACTTGGACCCTTCGGGTCATGTACGTAGAGTTTATAAAAATTCTTAAGGATGACAAGCAATTTCTATTTGTGTCTTTCTTGAGGGATTAGGGTTTAGGGTTCTGGCAGTCCCATGACAAGTAAAGTGGAACGGGTTAGTGGTATAGTGTTGGGTTTTTAAGGCCCGTTTCAGATTGTAGAGCTTAGGCGTCATTTATACATGTCGGCAACGAATGCCACAACTTGATGTTGCGACGGTCCGTGATAGGTTACGGTTAACCCAAATAACAACCCTTAACCCTAAACCATAACGCAACAACTCAAACAAGGCCTAGACGCGTCCAGAGCTCTTGCCATCCTCCTCGAACAGCCCCTCCATCATCTCGCCCGGCTGACCTAGGCTGTTCAGTAACCCAAAGGAAAAATCTATACTGTGTTAGGCTTCTTATTTAAATAATAGGAACCCAGAAACCTGAAAGTAAAAACGTGTACCACTGAACAGCCTGGTCACCCAGATCTTTCTTGGGAACCGCTCGCACTCCGAAGCCTTTAGAAAAGTCGGCGGCTGCCTTGAAAATGCACCTGGAGCGGGGGGCGGTGGGTGCTTCAAGTGAGCGCCTTAGTTGCCGGTCCTATGACGATAAGATAAGGGTTCAACAAGCTGCAGTCTATGTAAGGCTCCCACCTCACAGAAAACTTATCCAGCGAGACGTCGACATAGCTACCGCCCTCACAGTCACACTGGTCACCAATCAAGACTGTGCACAGCGATAGCATGTCACCAAGGCAGTTGACGAACTTCTTGATCTCGTTCCATGCAGCTGAAGCCAAACCTGCAGCCAAGGGCCCAAGCTTCACAATCTCTCCACCGAGCGCCGCAGCTTTGTCTGCGATGAAGTTGCCCACGGCGCTGGAAAGCCTTGCCCCTTCCTGGAGGGATCTTTGAGCATGATCCAGCGCCGTCCCTGCAAGATCAATAGTAGCATCTGCCACCATTTCTCCGACATCAATAGCTGTGTTGATGACACCTAGTGCCTCGTTGCCGATTGCATTCGCGGCATCCTGGCAAATTTGCAAAGCTGGTCTCTGCTGCCTTTACGACAGTATTCCCGACGACTGTGGCCGCATTGCCAATCGCACTGCCTACCGACATGCCAGCTGATGCAAGCGTGTTGCCCATTGAGCTGAAGCCATCAGCGACGGCTCCGAAGAACTTTGCTGACACCACGGCGTCAAGCTCTTCATCAACACTTGAGAGGTTGGTATTCTCGCGCCCTGAGCGTTTCGAGCGGGAGGAGCGGACAACAAGAGCACCTTGCACAGTCTCTGCCCTCGCAAGTTGCACAGAGTCCGCCGTGATTGTTTCCGATGAGCTGGTGTTCAGCTCCTGCGTGACTTTCATTGCTGAAGTCAAGGATAGCATGGCCCACATCATGACCAAGGAGGACGGC